AATCCGCAATGTTATCCTTTGACTTTACATAGTCAATAGTGATAACTCCAATTGAGAATAGTTGTCTTATGGTATTGTGTCTACAACGTATATGTCTAGACTTACCATTGTACATGTTACTCTGTGCCTTTCCAATTGCTGATTGACTATCACAATATATGCGAATTGTTGGCACGTGTTTTGACCATCTTGGAATATCCTCTAAGAAGTTGCTCAACCACTCAGCCTCTTCACTACTTTTATCTAGGGTTATAAACTCAGATTCCATAGTGGATTTGGCTATCTATATTTGTTTAGAGGATTTTCAGGATATAGCTGCACATTCCAATGTGAACACAAATCCACTACTCTTTTGGGTTAGAACACACTATGTTCACTTCATAAATTACAGCTACGAGATTCATTTCCGACACATTATGTGCAATATAGTCAACCACATTTGCTTCTTTCTTATTATTCTTCTTGGTAATTTGCACTCCGAAAACTTGTGGCCTACTTTGTCACAATTGAAGCATTTTCCTTGAAATTTCTTCTTAGAAATGCCTCCTTTCGATCCCAGCTCAGCACCTTTGCTACCGGATATCCTAGACTTGTTCTTAAAGGTCTTACAACTTTGATCGTGCACAACAACATTGGCTTTAACCACAATAGGATTGAACCCTTCTTTTCTGAACTTTTGTTGTCTTCTTCAATTCGAAGTCTAACAATCAGTTATCCGACGTTCATTTCCTTTCGCTTGTGTTTAAGATATTTCTTGAAATCTTTCCACACATGTGACATTTTTTCAATAATTGCAGCCACTTGGAAAGTTTTACTCAAAATCATCCTTTCGGCAAGAATCTCGTGAAGAATCACTTGGTGTTCTTACACTTGATTGATTACTGTTTTGGAGTCCACCATCTTATAATCTAATAATCGGCCAACAATGAATTTCCTGGTCCCGACATCCTCAGTCTTATATTTCCAATCCAATGACTCGAAAAAATCCTTAGCAGTTTTCAAAGTACTATACACGTTATATAGTGAATTTGCTAAACTGTTCATAATGTAATTTCAGCATAGAAAGTTAGAATATTTCCACGCATCTAGTGCACTAACAGCTTGAACATCCTCCTCACCATCTTTGAGTTTCGGAGCAGATTCAATCAAGAATCTCGCGAGATTCAAGGTGTTTAGGTAAAACAACATTTTCTGTTTCCACCTTTTGAAATTCAATCCATTGAATTTCTCCGATTTTTCTCCATGATTCACCGAAACAATAACGGCATGACCAGTTAGTTGAGCCACAATCTGGCTCAAAGCACAGCTTAGCAATTTAGCCACAACAGTATTTGCCTCTTGAAGCATAACAAAACTTGGCTCTTGAGCTATAGTAGAACCCATGGCTTGGTTTTCAGTAGCCACAGTTTGAGTGATGTCCATATTGGTTGATTTGGTTGCCATTTCTGAAAATCAAACAAAAATTAGTTTCTGAAATCAACAATATAAGAAACTAAATTTTTTTTTCTTCGAATCTGTTTTAAGTTTGTTAGATAAAATATCCGTGAACGAATACCGATTTAACAAATACCGAATTTACAACACATACCGAATATGCAACTTATCGGATATGCTGTTTACCGTGTAAACAATAACTTACCGAATAATAGATAAGATATAGCAGATTAAATAATTTGCTAATCACAACAAATTAAATAAATTATATAAATCACGAAAAAATAAAATAAATTATCTAAATAATAGAGAATAAAAGTTCAACTTAACTTTAAAAATCGAGGTCTCTGTGAACATAGTTTCCTTAAAATAGATTCGGTCCCTCATCGTAGGTGCTTGAGATTTAATTTGAGCGTTTGTTTCCCAAGATACAACGGTAAACTAATAGAGATCGAGCATTACAGATTCTACTCCAGCGAACTAACTTAGTATCTAAATCATATCACCACCATGAATTTAACAGACAGTGAATTATGTATATATACAGTAAATTATGTATGCAGACATAAATTTTTCGTGTGTTTTGGAACTGTAATGCAGAGAATGTATTCTTCATGTCTGAAACAGTGGAAAAACAAGGCTTCATATAAACTTAACCCCAGTATTGACGAGTTAAATATGTCCATTAACTCAATGGCAATAACCATTGGAGTTTCAACAGTTTCAAACATTAATGACAATAATTATTGGAGTTTTAGAAGTCTTAGAAATCAAAAGTCAGTTGTTGAAAGTAAAAAAAAATTGGCAAAACGTAGGCTCTCCTAAGGAGCCAATTTTTTTTTTTTTTTTATCAATTTAGTCCGACATTCGTGTACACACAAGTTTAAGATCCGAAACCTATTTCGGTTCGTGATTTGCACCCCCTGCGAGTGCACGTGGAAAGAACCTCTATACTACACATGATTACACACTTCTAAAGTGTAGCCATATATAAAGTAGTTCTTACTTTCATAAACTTTCTATGTGTGATAAACTCAAATTTAGTTTTCCCTCCAACATAAACCATATTCCAATGGTCCACTTTAAACTCCAATTTCTCATTCACTCGAGCTTCATTTTTGACAAGTAAATACATGATTTCGATGTTCTCGCGGAGGAGAACACAAATTAATGTTAATTTTCCGAAAAAAGCAAACAGATCCCACTCAAAATTTATGTCAACGTCAGCCATTCACCTCATTTTTTCCAACAATAACTTCGTATGCCACGAACACTGTGGGCAGAAGAAAAGTAAGGCCGAATGAAATTTCTTTCATTATCTTACGGTGGGGCTGAAAAGGACGGTGTTTGGTCCAGGATCCTACTCAAATAAAACATGTATAATAAGAAGAGAATATCTAGATATGAATATTTTTAATTATAATATCATCCCTAAAAAATGCACATATTGGATGAATGTTAATTGAACACTGTCGAGTCAACAATTTGGAGATGACAATATCTTGAAATTTGTAACTTTTTTTTTTTCGTGACTGGAGGATACTCCAATTCAAACATAGCTATCTCATTTACTATAGTTCATATTAAGCATAAAAAACTTAAAAATCCACATACTCCCCTTATTCTATGCAGTTGAAAATTTCCTAATGTGTCTTGCCGAAATAGTATGGTTTCAAGTTCACATAATTGAGGCAAAAATCGCACCAACTTTGCTTCAAAAATCGATTTATCTTTTTACATCTTAAAAGACCTCTCTATACATAGATATTTTGGTGATGAGATCATGTTAGATCTCTCCCTCCTACTATCTTATATCTGGACCATTTTTTGTCGAGTGATAAATTTCACGTCGAATAAAGATAATAACACATATCAATTTATAAAAGTTTGGACTACTTCGCTTAAAAAATATTGCCCTTTTATGATAGACCTTGAGTCTTAACATTCTCCTACCATTCCTCCAGCATTCTTTTATATATCCCTCCTACATAACACTCATTTTGTGTCCAAGCCTGTCAAGTTCTTACACTACAACAATGGAAAAAACTAAAGCTGCACAACCAACATGGGCTGAACTGATAGGAAGCAACAACTGGGAAGGCCTCCTTGAGCCCTTAAACCTCAGCCTCCGGAACTTCATCCTTCAATGTGGCAATTTCTGTCAAGCCACTTACGATGCCTTCAATGATGACCAAAATTCCAAGTACTGTGGTTACTCTAGGTATGGAAAGAACACTTTCTTCGACAAAGTCATGCTGGAATCGGCATCCAATTTCCAAATCTACAGCTTTCTCTATGCCACGGCCCAGGTTAGTGAAGGCGAAGCTCTCCTATTTCACTCAAAATCACGTGAACCAGGGGACAGGGAATCCAATTGGATTGGCTATATTGCCGTCACTACCGATGAAGTTAGTCAACGATTAGGCCGTCGTGAAGTTTATGTTGTATGGCGTGGTACAAAACGAGCTTATGAATGGATAGACGATTTTCATTCAACTCCAGATTCCTTTGAACATTCGTTACAACCTATGGCTTCTCAAGACGGCTCTAAAGACGATGAGAACGTGCCTAAAGTCATGCAAGGTTGGCTCACAATCTATGTTTCTACCGATCCCAATTCACCTTTCACAAAACTAAGTGCAAGAACTCAGCTTTTGACAAAGATTAAAGAACTTAGGAACCAGTATAAGAATGAGAATCTGAGCATAATAGTCACTGGTCACAGTCTTGGTGCAAGTCTAGCTACTTTATCTGCATTTGATCTTGTTGACAATGGAATTACTGATATTCCGGTATCTGCCATTGTTTTTTGCAGTCCAAAAGTGGGAAATGAAGCTTTTAACGATAGATTGAATCAATTCTCGAATCTGAAAGTTTTGCACATCAGGAATAAGATTGATCTTATACCACATTATCCAATTTTGTTGGGATATTCGAACACAGGTATCGAGCTACAAATTGACACCAGAAAATCCCCGAACTTGAAGGTCTCGAACCAACCTTTTGACTGGCATAATTTGGAGGCTAATTTACACGTGGTGGCGGGTTGGAACGGAGCTGAAGGAGAATTTGAATTGAAGGTGAAGCGGAGCTTGGCTTTGGTCAACAAGTCTTCTGGTGCTCTCAAGGATGAGTATTTTATTCCAGAATCATGGTGGGTTGAGAAGAATAAAGGAATGGTTCTGAATGGAGATGGAGATTGGATTTTGGTAGAACCATCAGATGAAGACCAACCTGTGCCTGAATTCTGATTCTTACGTGCTATCTACGATTTGCCACACGAGTCATATTTAATCTATTAAGCCATTTTATATCTGTAATAAAAATAAGGATGTAACATAATGATTGCTCGATTGTTAGTACTTCATTTCTATTAAGTCATTTTATATCTGTAATAAAAATAAGGATGTAACATGATGATCCCTCTATTGTTAGTACTTCATTTCTCGTACCTCTTTGTGTAATAATTCTAGTAAAATTTCATATGTATTGGGTTCAATTACATAATGTTTTTATGTTTGTTATTTCTTTTAGGTGAACGTTGAGATAAATACGAAACGTACAGCTTATGCAAGTAATGAAACAGTATATAAATTAAATTGGTTTAATTTCAATGGAGGTCACTGAGCTTTTATCATAGTTGCAGTCGAGTCATTGAAGTTTCACCCTAGTTACAATCAGGCCACTTAACATTCAACCTAGTTGCAATTAACTTTTTTGACTGCACGAGTCAGAAATATACTTTATGAATCAATTTGAAAGTTTCCACATACTACAATAACCTGTGAAATTAACCCATGAAAAATCCGATTAATAATTATGAAATCTACACAATATCAACACATTCAATGAAAAAAGTGCAACTACCAAATAGATTGCAGGAAGGAACAATTGGGAAATGATTCGAAGAAGAAAGTAGCTATGGAGGCTTTACTAAAAATCGATAGCACTTGCAAAGGAGGCGGTGTTGGAAAGTTTGTATAGAAATAGGGGTTTTG